AGTTGCCTGGTATGACAAACGAGGCTGGAAGCCCACTGGTGGCCCTGGGTACTGTCAATTCAGGTCCCATCTCACTGAGGAGGGCTTGTGTGAAGATTCAGCTCCAGGATCTGCTCCTGGTATTACCCAGGCCACTCCCTGATCCCACCAGCAACTGGCCTCTTTGATCCTCAGTACCAACTTCCCTAAAATGGTAGCTTCTTCCCGTCTTATGAGGATTGAATAGACCATGAATGTGAAACACCTAGAAGTGGGCCTGGTCCTGAGAGAATCCTTTTCAGACAGGAGTCACGCTGGCTCTCTAATCACAGCATGACCAGCAACGCAGTCTTGTGCTTATTTTTTCTTCTTAGTAGTTTAGTGGTCCCAGCTCAGAATCATTTTCTTTCTTTTTTTTTTTTTTTTTTTCTGTACTGGGGATCGAACTCAGGGGCACTCAACCACTGAGCCACATCCCCAACCCTTATTTTGTATTTTATTTAGAGACAGGGTCTCACTGAGTTGCTTAGTGCCTCATCATTGCTGAGGCTGGCTTTGAACTCGTGATCCTCCTGTCTCAGCCTCCCAAACTTCTGGGATTATAGATGTGCACCACCGTGCCTGCTCAGAAGCATTTTTGAACATGGAACTCACCATCATCAGTACATGACGTGGGCTCCTTCCTTACTAAAAACACTGCCACCTAACTTCCCTGCATTGGTTCATATTTCTCTTACTTCATCCAACACTTCTCCCCCTGTGGCATGGAAATCCAACTTATGAAGCACTTACTCTAAGCCAGAGCCAGGCTCTGGGCCAAGGGCTCACCAGGAATCACCTCATTTAGTCCTCCATCACCCCCTTGCATGGCTGTGTCCTGTTTTCATCCCCACTCGACAGATGGGGTAAGCAAGGCTTATTCTACCCAGGTTGAACATGAATGCTGCCACAGCAGGGGTGCGATACAGGCCCGCCGCCTGCAGAGTGGAAGCCTGAAGACTAGGCTGGGGGGTTCTCAGCCTCAGCACCACGGCATCGCATCAGAAAGGGTTTGCTCCTTGTTGTGAGGACTCTTCTGTGCATCAGAGGATGTTTAACAGCATCCCTAGTCCCGCCCACCAGATGCCAGTAGTACCCAATCATAATAATTAAAGAATGTCTCCAAACACTGCCAGATGTCCCCTGGGTGAGGATGGGAGACAAACTCTCTCCACTGCTCTCCGCTGATTCCCCCTGCCTATTAGAGGAGGGAGCCCTGGACCATTCCAAGACCAGACCCTCTTCCTGGTCTCATCCTCACCCCCGCCTCTCTTAACCTTTTAAGAAAAATCTTTCCTCTCTGCTTCTCCAGCCAGGGCAAGACAGTGAGCCCCAGGCTGAGCGCTGTAACCCCTTGGATTCCCGTCCCGGCTTTCAGTTGTGACCAGAAGGGTGCTTGCTGGAGAGAGAAGGCACTGCCTGCCCCCAGCACCAGGCCACTCCCTGACCCCACCAGCCCTGGGTGTCTCAGAGACATGCCCTGAGCACAGGTGGTCAGTCTCCCTCCTCAGGACCGGTACAGGGGGTGGAGGGACAGCAGTAGGCCCTCTTTTTTGGCCCCTGGCCGGTCCCCACACCAGCCTCTGGGACAGCCTCTGGATAGCCTTCCCTGGGGTCAGCTGTGAGTGTATACACTGGGGGTGGAGAGGGACATCAACCATGGGCAGTGTTTTTGCCAGTCCCCAGATGGAGCCATCAGCCTCAGAGGGCCCAGCACTTGTCAGTCGAGGCCAGACCAGCCTGGATGACATTTTGCCTCCCTGAAGTCCATTTCTCAATCAGGGTTTGTTTAACAAATTCATTCATCCCTGGCCCTTTTGGAAATGCTGATGGGTGCAGGGTGGGCCTCAGAACACCTCTCCCTGCTTCCCTACCACACCTGCTCCTGTCTCCCCTCCTCCAGAACATGTGGCCAGAGGTCAGCCCTCTCCCGGGAGATCATGAGGCTGAATGAAATCCCAGGAATGGACCAAGTAATGGAAAGCCCACTTGTGGAAGGGCTTCCTGCCACGTCTGCTCCCCCTCACACACTCTCTTGGGGATCTTTAGGTGACTTCCTCAGACCCTACCCCAGGCGTGTGCCATCTGGCTATTCCTTCCCAAAGGCATTTGTGAACTGGGAGCCTCAGACGTCAGGAGAACCCATCCCCAGCACTCCCAGGCCCCTAGGACATTCACAAAGAAATGCCAAAATGAGATTTCAGAAACTGGTATAATTTTATGTTTTTGTGTTTAATCTGTTAATGCTTTTATCACAAAAAAACACAGTGTCATTATATTGTGGTGGTCAGGAGATAATGACAGGATTTATTTTTTAAATGCTAATTCGTGCTTTCCTACAGACTATATGGGCAGGTAATGGACCAGAGGAGCAAACCTCATCCTCTGTCCTCATCCGTGACTGTTCAGCCTCATTTCCAGAGAATGGCAGAAATCTAAATTTGAGGGTGGTTGTCCTAGGCCTGGACAAATAGTTCCCTGGCAGCCTGCTTGTAGATCTGGGCCTTAGGCTCTCTTCTCTCCTCCCCATAGGCCAAGGAATATTCTGGGCTCATATGCAGGGTTCCCCTTGTAGGCCACACTCCAGATATCCAGGATTGCAGAATCCCCTGCCTGGTGGCCTCAACCTGATTTCAGGACCTGTGAGGATCTCATGCCTTAGTTTGTCCTCTGAGGTAGACTTTGTCACTAATACACACTCTTAGACCCCAAGGGGAGCTACGTAGCGGAGTAGCCATGCTTGGATATGGAGGCTACAGGTGGGAAGGGAAGGGAGAACACAGGCTGGAAGCCCATGCTGCATGTGTCCCCTGTGGCCTGGTGTGGAATCCATAGAGCAGAGGCCCCTGTTCATCCTCAGTTCCCATAAACGGCAGAGAGGGGTAGACTCTCTGGCCTGCCCAACCCAGACCCTGACGTGGGGGTATGACTATTGCCTGTTTACTATACTGTCACTGGGAATTGGCCACAGAGAAGAGTCTCTTTGTAAATAAAGAAAAGATCTCTTGCTATCTCCAATTTAGTCCTGTCAAGGTGAAATTGATCTATGGCTTTAATACTTGTAACCTCAAAGAGGACTCAGAGACAGGCATCTTCTCCCATGACTAAACTTGTCTACAGGAGCTGCAGAATCAGCCAGGACTTAGTCAACCTCAGCAATGGCAGAGCAGTTGGCCCCCCCTGGTGTGGGGGCCACTGCCAGTATGTGACCTTAAACAACCTCTCTGAGCCTTGGTTTCATCATCTGTAAACTGGGGATAATGATAATATCTACTTAATAGGATCCTTATGGAGATTAAACTAGTCAATCCATGTAAAGCTCTTAGAACTGTGTCTGGCACATACAAAGTGCTCAATAAATGTTAGCCATCATCAGCCACTTCAAGGTCATCGCACCACTCTGTGCAGACTTCCTTCCCCTTTCAGCTTATCCTGGAGGAAGGCAAATGGCTTGTGTGCAATGATGATGTTCTCAAGGCCACAGAGCTTCTTGATATGTCCCAAGGAATACATTTTGTGACTTTTTATTACATAAAATTTCAAACATATGTAGATATAGAAGTCGATGGAATAAAGATGGGTTCTCCCCATGTACCCATCACCAGGCTGCAAAAAAACATCAACTCGGGGATGATCTTGGCTCATCTCTAGCTATGTACCCCTCAGGGAATACTTTCTGGTCTAGGTAGGTCTCCCAGCACCAGTAGTATGAAATGGGACAAAAGAATCCTCAGGCAGGAGCCTTCTCTAGGGATAGTGGCTGGTGGCCCCATTGAGAGGTTAATGGGCTAGGGATGGTTCTAGATCAGGAAAGGCAGTGGTCACCGTCCAGCAGGTAGGGCCAAACCAGGTGAAGATGAGCTGTGCAGACAGGACAGCAGAAGGGCCTGAGCCTGTGGGAGAAGAGGAGGAGCAAGGCAGGTCCCACACAGTCCTGAGAGTGTCCAGCAGGCCCAGGGGGGAGGATCTGGGTCTAGGAGCGGGTGGGGGAGGTGCAGAAAGAAAGGCAGATGAATGCCATGTTCTTAGGGCACACTTGGTTGACAGCAGGATGCTGGCCTGTGAAGGGACCCTTTTTTCATTCTCAGGCCACAGAAAGGTAGTCTATGAATGGCCTGGTCCAGAGGCGTAGGGCCAACTAGTTGGCAAGAATACAACTTTGACAGGGTCCTCTGCAGCTTCCCCAGGGTGGGGGTTGGGTAGGGGGGTGGTCTGGAGTCAATATCTTTGCCCCATGGTGAAGGCCAGGGTACCAGGACCTGGGAAAGCCTCTTCATGGTGCACTTGCTCTCCCCTGCATGAGGCCTGGAGAGCATGTCAGGCTTCCTGAGCAGCAGTTTCTCTGTGGTCTCTGGCACTTTGGAGGGAGTATGCATGAGAACCATTCCCCGTGCTGACCTCACAGAGGGCCCGTTCCTTACGCCATTGTCTTTGCTTGTCAGCCCAGTGCCAAAGCTTCTTTCCCTGAAGGAGTTCAGCAGCCAAACTGCCTACTCTACCGTGTTGGAGTATATTCATTCTCTTCGAATATTTTGATGTCTCAACCTCGGCTTCCAGGTTTGGGCTGTCTTCAAAGAAGACAGCACATTCTAAAGACAGCGAGGGGGTGCTGTGTGAAATGTCAAGAGAGGGGAACAGACTCAATGTCTGGGACATTATGTCCAAACAGACTCTGGACACCACACAGCTCGGTTCGAGTGCTGTTCAGTCTCTTGCCCAAAGCCCAGAATAGTTCAGTGACTCTAGAAGCTGCCTGCATGCCAGGCCCAGGCTGCTTCATGGGATATGGGGACAGTGACTTGTGGTGGAGGCATGACCTCCCTTGTGTAGTATTTTCCAAGGTGACCTTGTTGATGGTCAGTGCCTGCTGGGCCCCTGGCACTTCTCACCCAGCTGTACTGATTCTCTCAGGTGGGCACAGTGGTATCCCATGAGCGGTGACTTCCTCTATCCTGAGTGCACATTCCCGGTCTCCCCCGTAGGTGTGGGCCTACACGTACACCCAGCAGATCATCCAGGAGGAGCTGTGCCTCTCAGTCGTTACCTTGTTCCCTGGTGCCCCGGTGGTTCTTGTGCTTTGCAAGAATGGAGATGCCAGACAGGTAAGGGCTCAGCAGGTCCCTGGGGCATGGCTGCCTTCCATAATGTGATGATCTGGATAGGACTAAATCTCAGGGGCAGGAAGACAGAGGAACTGTTGGAGAAGGAAGGGCGGAGAGGGAGGAAGGATGTTGCTTGGGATCCTCTCCAAGGTGCCAACAGCAATGCTGCTTTGACCCCCCTGGTCTGTTGGCTTATGAACACCTGTGACCCCAACTGCCCATGCCAAGCCCACACATATTGGCTCGCACTTTTTCACAGGTACCCGGTGTGGATGGCTGCTTTGATTGCTCCTATGACTAACTCACTTCATATTTTCTGGCCTATTGCTTGGAAAGTTATTGCCTCCTAATGAGTTTTCCTAGCAAACATTGATTTTGCCTTTAACTTTTTTTAATCTATTTAAAAAAAAAAAGAAAAGAAAAGAAGAAGAAAACCAACAACAATACCTGGCAGAGCAATTAGTTACAGTTTCATTCTTCCATGAGACCATGAAATCAAGTCTCTGGCTGACCCTAGACACATGGTAGCAACCTTTCTGATTAAACCTGGAACTCTGATGTTATTGATAGGACCTGGGGCCTTAGCCAGAGAAACCCAGCTCATCCTTTCTCCTTCTCTCTAGCAATGGACCAAGACGGGCTCCCGCATCGAGCACGTAGCATCCCACCTCTGCTTAGACACTGATGTGTTCGGGGACAGTTCTGAAGATGGCAAGGAGGTTGTGGTCAACCCATGTGAGTCCTCACTCATGAGCCAGCACTGGGACATGGCGAGCTCCTGAGGACCCTGGGCAGATCCAGCTTGGGCCAGGGCTGGTGCTTGCCCAGGCCAGAACAGACTGGAAGCCAGGCTTTGAAGAGCCACTGACTGCACCAGACGCCCTGAACTGGAGGTGGAGCAAAGCCCCCCCAGGACAGGAGCAGCTGTCTCAGGGAGGATGGAGGAAAAGATCACAAGCCAACAGGCTCAGTGACAATCCCATGTGTTCTCAATGTTGTGAAGTTCCAGTCCTGGCCATATCTTCCCCGGATTGGTCCCTGGAGACCCAGACCTAATGGGAAATGTTTGTTGTTCCCTCTGTGTTCCAAAGAGGCACCCATGGAGACCAGGGAGGAAAGTCTTTCTTGTCGCCGGGTCAGGACTAAGTTGAGAGATGAAGGATGGAGGTGGTTTTCAGGAGAAATAAATAACCTTAGAAATTGTCCTTAAGTACCTAATGCTTTTCCTTCTCCCACTGGCCAAGGGATAAGCTGATTTCTCCTTTGAAGGTGGGCAGTGGGAGGGCATCTGGTGGAAGAGTGGATGAAGAAGACAAGGGAGGTGGGAGACCTGCGCCTTTATCCTAGGTTGCCACCAACTAGCTATATGATCCCCAAAAGACACATCCCTTCTTTGGCCCATCATTTCCTCTTATGTCACATGGGGAAGTAGGGCCAGATCAGTGGTTTTTACTGAAGATACATACCTGACTCACTGAGGAAATTTGTCTAATTTGGAGGCCCAACATTCCTGATTTGTAGGTCTCTGGCCAATTCTGATGGCCCCTCCCTGGTTAAAACACTGTCTCTGTGGCCATCAGCATAGGAGGGTCTTACTCTAATAAATCTCCCCATCCCTGGTGTGCTCCGCAAGTTGGTTGTCCGGTTGCCCCTTCTTTTCAACTAGGGCTAAAGAGAGAAGCAGTCCATATTGTTTAAGTTTCCTGTCCATCCTCTGCCAAGGTAAGTTCACCACATGCTCTTTAGTAACTGTCTTTGTTATCTACTGCTGCATAACTAATGACCCCATAACTTAGCAGCTTAAAGCAACACACATTGATTTTCTGTTTCTATGCATCAAGAATCCAGGTACAGCTTACCTGGGTCCTGTCTTTCAGAGGGTCTTACAAAGTTGTGGTGGAGGTCTTGGCTGGGGCTGCAGTCAGCTCACCTGGGGCCAAATCTGTCCTCAGCTCACGCCGTAATTGTTGGCAGATTTGGTTCCTTGCAGGTTGTTGGCCAGTGGCTGACCTCAGTTGTTGCAAGGGCTTCTCCAGCTAGCAGCTCGCTTCTCCAAAGCAAGCAGGCCAAGAAGGCAGAGTACGCATGAAACAGGAGTCAGAGGCTCTTAAAAGCAAATCTCACAAGTTACCGCCCATCCCTTTTGCCATATTCTACTCGACAGAAGCAGTCACCAGCTGCAGCCCATACACAAGCAGAGAGGATTACTCAGGAGAGTGAATGCCAGCAGGGATGATTGTGGGGAGCCATTTAGAATCCGCCCACCACAGTGACTATTAAATTCTAAGCAGGTGTCTATCCCCCTCATCCAGAAAGGCCTTCAGTAAAGGAAAATTGTTGGAGCTCATTATAAAACCCATTGCTGCAGACTACTGTGGACTGGGAAAGGCAAGAGTGGAAGTGTACAGACCCAGAACCTCCTCTGGTGGTTGCGTTTGCTATGCAATCTTCCCACCACCTTCTCTAGTTAGGATGTGGCTCTGCTTTGGGGGCTATTTCACGCCATACTGGGAAAAAGAGGGGAGACCATGGAGAGGTAAAGCCATCTATAGAAGACATTCTGTAGGCTGCATAAACTTTGTGCCTATAAAGCATAAACCAGTTTGCAGAGAAGAAAAGGGATAGGCCATTTGCCAGTCACCTTTCCCCTAAGTAACTGGGATAGAATAACATTATAATTCTACTACAGTCTCACACATTAATATGTGATGTCAAAGCAAACAGAACAACAGCTCCAAACCTCTACCAACTCAAGACAAAGCTAACAATACCTATAGGACAGCAGCCTGCAACAACCCAGGCTGTGGCCATGCCTTACGGGCCACCAGATCCCCTGGTGGGTGCTGGATTAGAGTCCTCAGCTTACTCTCTGATCATTGAACTTGAATGCCAAACTTTAGTAGCCTGGATTAACTCACTTAGTTGACCACCCGTAGCTATCTAAGAAAGTTTGTTAAATGACACGAAACTTTTCAGGACAAAAAAGACCTCTACTCAGGATCTTTAGGGTCCACAAGATTTGGACCCCAAACCATGCTTGGAGAGTCACCCCTCTACAGCAGTCTCACCACACTGGCAGGTGAGGAGGTCGCAGAAGCCCCTCCTAGATCACATCTGCCTTTGGGAATAATATGAACTTCTTTCTGAGTATCTGAATGTGACGTGCATAGTAAATGAGAAGGAATTTATGCCTGTTACGAGAGTGTGTGTGTCTACAGTCTGCCTTCCACATCCATGGGTTCTGTATCCATGGATTCTACCAACTGCAAATTGAAAATATGCAGGGAAAAAAAATCACCTGTACTGAACATGTATGGGCTTTTCCTCTGTTGTTATTCCCTAAATAATACTACAAAAATTATTGACATAGTGTTTACATTGCACAAGGTATTTTAAGTAATCCACAGGGGATTTCAAGTATGTGGGAGAAAGTGAGAAAGTGCACAGGTTAAGCACAAATATTACACCCCTTTATAGACAGGCCTTGGGCATCTGTGGATTCGGGATCCATGAGTTGGGGGGTGTACTGGAACCCACTCCCCATATATACCAAAGGTCAACTGTGTTCTCAGGAAATAGGAGAAAAAGGCAGAGGCTTTGTGTACTGTCTGGTGTCTGGATTATAGTTGGGGCATGATGGTGTTCAGTGACTGGGGAAAAATGGGAGATTTCAGGTGAATCTGGGCTCCGCGTGGGTGTTTGAGCCTGGTGCCATGTTGAATCTGAGCTTAATGCTCCTGGCAGTTGGTTTCCATGTGCTTTGTAATTTCTCTGTGAGCTCATCTTCAATGGGACTTTCTCCTCTGGGCTTCCCAGGCACCCTGGTTCTGGAGACATTTCTCAAGGGAGGGCTAAGCTTGCCTCTGTAGGGTCCAGTTGGACTGAGTTCAGGCCCTTTTGTACATTGACTTCTCTTGGTGGTTTTTACATTGAGTGATGAGAATTAGGACCTGCCTATGCCTGGCACCAGCTCGGAGTGTGACCATTCACACATTGCTCTTTCCACCCCAAATGTTAGTCCTGCTCCATGGCATCTCCACTCACCCAGCTGGTTGATGGGCTTATCTAGCCCTTCCCCCCCAGCTTTATGGAAGGTCCTGTGTTCGGCCTCTGCCACCCATGAGGCTCTGGATCTCCTCCTGTCTGCCTCTGCTTGGATGAAAGCCCCAGCCTTGGTGACATGTTATTGCTTTGATTTCCCTCAGCTCCCACGCCCCACTCTCACTGAATTCCCATTTGATTTCGGAATCTGATATCTCTCCGTTCTCCCTTTCAAATGCAGCTGTGATTTCAAATTGTTTTATCCAATATTTATGTGTTTGGGGGGCGGGCTTCCTGTGTCAGCCCAGATCAGAATTCCTTGGTGCCATAATTAGCTGTCACCACTCTTTCCCACTGGCTGTGGGATCATTTCTTACTGTAGACACTCAATAAATTTCTGTGAATGAGTGAGAGAATAAGCCTGTGATTCTTTAGTACCACTTCCTAATTACCTCCTGGCTAGTTATCAGACTTTAGAGTTTTAAAAAGACAGCCAAGGCAGAAATGGAAGACCAAGAAGACAAATTTATAACAATAAAATCTTGTTATAGTACACATAGATTTAGAGATCATGCATATTTTACTTCCTAACGACGGAGTTTAATACTGAGAATGCTAACTGGAAAGAACTGTCAGTAATGGAAATCTTTAATACTACAGTAGAGCAGGCCAGAGAGAATTTGTTCTCATAAACTGCGGTCAGGGGGATGGTGATGGAAGGTGGGCAGAGCCCTTTGTTTCATCTATGAGAATCTCAGGCACATCCACCTGCGCCTGGCAGCCTGAGTCCTGGAAACAGGTTTGCCTTGCCTTGTTCCCATGGTCCATCTGGTTGACCCCCTGTCCTGTCCTAGTCTGTCCATTCCCTAAAGCACATGGGACAGCGACTGCACACCAGAGTGCAGTGAGGGTCTGAAGGCCATAGGGGAGGTCTAGCAGCTGTGCACACGTAGTGGCCTCTGAACGTCCCACGTGTCAGGCGGAAGCCTATTTGTCCTGCCGTGCAGAGCTGAACGTCTGAGCTCCCTCGTGGGCTATGGTCTCTGGCAGCCCAACTCAGATTAGCCAACTCCAGAGCTCTGAGCATTTTTCCATTTGCCATGGAGCCGACTAATTTAATGAAGCCGTCAGCGTGCAAACCTCGGGGCTTATTGGAAAAGGACCCGAGCACGACATTATTTCTCAGCAGTAGATTGCATCATTTTCATTTCACAGCTTTCCAATGGGAAATAATAAAACAAAATTACAAACATAATGAAGAAAGAAAGAAGGGGAAAAAAAAACCTGTGGGTGAGAGACGCATTCTCTGTGCTGTGTCAGGGCTGGTTCCCTTACTCACTTGAGCCAGTAAATATTACCTGGCTTCGCTCTGCAGGAAGCAGCAGCCCAGGATGCCTCCACCTGCTGCGGAAGATAACAGGCTGCAATAACTCACTGTCCAGATGCAGTGAGGAGCCAGGAGCGTACCTGGAGATGGTCCAGTGGATGCCTTTCTAAGAAATTCCAGCCTCCAAGAGCACAGCCCGCCACGCAGCTGGGGTGAAGGGCTGCATGGGTGGGGCAGGGGGAGCAAATGGGGTGTGGGCAGGCACCCTGCTCTCCTTTCCCTGGAAGACAGCTGCATCTCCAGTGGGTCTTCCCTGGTATGGAGAAGAGAAAGCAGGTCACTGCCTTCGTCCATCCTGCAGTGTGACTATGGGTGATCTGACAGACAGAGGCAAACTAGGAGTCAACAAAGGGACAGAGCTCTTTCCAAAACCTGTTCTCGTTAATTGCACAGAGGTGTACAGTTGCAGGGAGGTGAAAGAGCTCAGCCAGGCCTTTTATTGTGCTCTGCAGACATGCCCTTCGGCTCAAGGAGATGCCCCAGGTCTATCCCATAGCAGAGACTGGACGCCTTCATTCCACCCAGCCCCCAAATTTCTCCCCAGACTGTTACTGAAAATAACTTTTCTGACAATGGAGGAGGTTGAGGCCATGTGGAATGAGGTCCCCGTTCTTTCTCCAAGGTTCCCTGTGACTCCCTTCTTCCCTTCTCCATCTTCAGGTATACCTCCCCCTCTACCTAGCTTCTCTCCATCTCCTGAACAGCATTCAAATCTCTCCCACCCTGACTTACAGAAAAAAAAAAGCCTTTCCTGCAGCCTCATCTCTTCTTTTCTTA